GGTAGTTATGATATGACCAGTTCGAGATTTCTCACAGCACATTCTTTCTATCATAATTTTTTATCTCTGGTTTGTGTCGCATTAAATCGTTAGATAGATGAATTGCATGAGGGAGAGAGAGAGGGAGAGAGGGGGAGAGGGAGAGAGGGGGAGAGGGAGAGAGGGAGAGAGGGGGAGAGAGAGAATTAGAGAGAATTAGAGAGAAATAAATAAAATGAAAGTGATATAGGAAGTTTTAAAATGCGCGTGAAAAAATGTGAAGAGGAAAGAAAGAAAACGTGAACGAGAGAAAGAAAAATAGAGAGAAAATGAAAGAGAAGGAGAGGGCGATTGAAAGAGAAGCTGAATAGAAAAAGAAAAAAAAATGAGCGACAGACAGAGAGTAAGTGACAGGATTTTAAAGAAAGATAAAAAGATACGGAGAAACAAAGACAATATATATGAATGAAAGGTTTTCATCAAATTCTGGTCAGATTAAAATATGGCGGCTGATAGTTGCGCCCATGCACACACAGACACACATATGCACGCAACCCCCCTTACACACACACATATAAATGGATGTTGAGAACGGAAGTTGTAAATAATGATTCGCAAATAAATTTTCTTATGTGCTGAAAGCAAATGCGTAAGGTTTATTGATATGGACAAGTACCTCCAACCGGTGCATGTCAATGAGAAAGCCATATTTGGACAGCATTTTAAAGCAAGATCAAATGACTGTTCCGCTGCCCAAGCACTTAACTGAATCCGATCATTCGCTCAGATTCGTATATCCTTTTTCCCTTGCTCTATTATTCTTTCAGATTTTTATTTCCCTTCTCCTCTTGCCCACAGATTTACTTCTCAAATGCGGACTGCCTTAATGGATATTAATATGCGCCCCCCTTTTGATTTTTATGCCGTACGGCGCCAAAAATGTGAGGCCTCTAGGCTTCCTTTTCAGACACATGTATTTTTTTTTTCAGTTCGACTATATTTTATTTCTTTTAATGTAAAATTCTTTATTTAGTCATGCATTTATTATACTTGTACCTAGCCGCTCGTATCGACATACGTTAGTTTGCTAGCGTGACTAGCTATCTCCTGTTGCTGAAGCCTGCTTATCCCACTTTTAATTGTTCATCTCCCGCGGAACTAAACTGCATCTATGCTCAGCGGACCTTAATTACCGTTTCTAGCCGAGAGACCGTAATCTGGTATGATCCGTAGTTGAACAAGTCCAGCACGCTCAAACCCTCGGCCACGTTGACTTGTGACTCTGTGCTACCATACATTTGTTGTATGATCCTGCAACGGAGTATCAATGTATTTTTTAACACGAGCTGTAACGTGTTTACACGTGACCCAGCATTAACAAACACGATATTGTCAAAAAGACACATACAACAATAATAGCCAATATACAGACAAATCTAAATAATGATACCTATCGAATTTCTTACTATGTAATTAATATTAAACATGCACAACCGCCGACAGCTTTCGCATAGTTCATTTAATCCAATTTTACTGACAAGGCTTGAGTCCAACCGGGGTATAGTTTTCAGGAAGTTACTAGTGGTATTGCATGCTGGAATCATCCGCACTGGTCTATAGGATCGAGTCGCCAAGTCTCTGACTTTCGACCTTGTGCCACATCTAAGCTACGCTTAGAAAATCTGGGTCACCTCGAGGCGGTGTAATGGTTAGCAAGCTTGGCTCGCTAGAACAATTACAACTGAGTAGTGAGTTCGATCCTCACTAGGTACCCTCTAATTTCGGCCTTGTGCCACATCTAAGCTACGCTTGGAAAATCACCAGTGAGTCGTTTAAGTCTGAACCGTCTGTTTGGTTAAACTCTCTTCCTACGCGCGGGAGGAACCCGAAGGAGGCTACGCCGAAGGGCGGAGTTCCCTTCGGTAAAACCGGCCCTGAACCCGTTTATACGGGTTCAAATGGGCTATTTTTTGGCCGAGCCTAATGGTTTGGGAATTGGCCACGTTAAAAAGGCCTTGTGCCACATGACACCCTCGTGGGGGGGGACTGAATATCGTCGCCAAGTCTCTGACAAATCGACGATGATGAGTTTCAAAGCCCGTTCTTAGAGTCAGGAGGCTAAGTTACTGGCACATATAGTGAGACAAAAGTCACACACCATACAGATAGTTCATGAAAAGTATAATTACACATGAAAATTGTATTCGCTTGTTATTTAATTGCTATATGAACTGTTTAAAATGTTCTCCTATTTTTCCGAAACACATTTCAAATATATGTCTGCGTGATTCATTAACAAGTCGGAGTGTTTTCTCTGTCATATATCTGCATTTATATTTAATACGTTCATTCCTCAATATTTCTTGGGTGCGTCTGATAAAAATCTGATTTCAAATGGCGCTACAGAAAGAAATCCAAGGGTGTGAAGTCTCATCACCTCGATCGTGACTTCACAGGAACTATTCGACCTATCCATTAAACCCTACGGTGCGCGTAATTTGCCTCAACCTGGATATAATTTTATATTATATATTATATTATGTATTCTATTATATTTTATATTATACATTATATATTATATATAATATCATGCATTCTATTATATAGTATGTATTGTATTCTATTATAATTTATATTATACATTATATTATGTATTCTATTCTATTATATTTTATATTATATATAATATTATGCATTCTATTATATTTTATATTATATATAATATTATGTATTCTATTATATTTTATATTATATATAATATTATGCATTCTATATTTTATATTATATATAATATTATGTATTCTATTATATTTTATATTATATATAATATTATGCATTCTATTATATTTTACATTATATATAATATTATGTATTCTATTATATTTCATATTATATATAATATTATGCATTCTATTATATTTTATATTATATATTATATTATGTATTCTATTATATTTTATATTATATATAATATTATATATTATATTATATTTTATATTATATATAATATTATGCATTCTATTATATTTTATATTATATATAATATGTATTCTATTATATTTCATATTATATATAATATTATGCATTCTATCATATTTTATTTTATATATTATATTATGAATTCTATTATATTTTATATTATATATAGTATTATGCATTCTATTATATTTTATATTATATATAATATTGTGTATTGTATTATACTTTATATTATATATAATATTATGTATTCTATTATATTTTATATTATATATAATATTATGTATTCTATTATATTTCATATTATATATTATATTATGTATTCTATTATATTTTATATTATATATAATATTATGCATTCTATTATATTTTATATTATA